CACACTGACGTCATGTTGTGGTGCGTTTCTGTCCAGAATCTAGACTCTGCAGTCAGTCCCACAACACCCAGGACTCGCCCGCGCTGAAGGTGCGGCGCCGCGGCATCTCACTCGCCCTCGATATCCAGTGCTTCGGTACCTACAACGCGATCGGGTTCAGGGTCGCGCACTCGCGCGCGCTAGCGTGCCTCCGCCACAACCGCTCATGGACGTGTGCGCGGGTCTGGCGGTGGCGTTTCGGAGGACCTGTGGTTCACTCCTGTAGAGGAGATTTAACCCGCGGACCAAGAGGTGTGCGAGCGCGTGCTTGAGCGTACACGAGCGGGTCCGGCGCATATTCCACCCCACATTTCGACACATTCTCCGTGTTGCACCAGCGACGTGTGTGTGTGCATGCAGCTCATCTGTTTGCACTCGTTGATTGAAGCATGATGGAAAGTGTGCCGCGCGAAGCGAGGCGACTCTGAGCATTACGACGCTTCCGCAACCACGCCACTCCATTCTCTCTCTCGGCGGCATGGGCTGCCTGCACCGCTGTGTGAGGGGACACCTCGTTGGGTTTTTGATTCCGCGGCTGTCATGTTACTAAGCGGTGTGGGGAAAAGATGAGGGATACCCACAGGTTGGACCGGATGGTGCATGCACTGGGCCGGTTTGCTTGAGTAGGATTACTCAGCGCTTCCGGTAATACTCGGGCACCGCTATTTGAGCTCACTTCAACAACCTCCTATTCCTCTACAACCGTCTTTTATGGGCTAGCAGTTGAAGGTCTGCCTATGCTCTATTTGTTGACTGCTGATACGCACGTGCCGCCGCTGTACGGTGCACCGCGACCACACTAGCGCCCGCGCGCCGCCGTCCACCTCGACCTCGCTCGTCTTCACGCACCTCGACCTCCCCGCCGCGCGCACCCATCGCGATCAGCCCGCGAGCACCCCTTATCGACGCTCCAGCATTCCAGGCCAGACGCGACGCCCACGGACACACCGCGCCGCAGTCCACGCACGACCGAGGCCGGCACGGCACGCACCCGATCCACCTCCTCTACAGTACGCCGATCTCGTCCGTCTTTTCATCTTCATTCTTCTCCTCTTCTTGCACGTTTAGTATGCTCTCCTGTTCTACATTTCGTACATTTCGTATTCTAGTATCCACTTCGCACGTCCCCCATTTCGATCCTCTGCCTTGACCTATCCCTGCTCACCTGTACCTCGATCTTCGTTCCTGTCCCCCGCGCTTTCGGCTCAGCCCTTCATTCTCGGTCTCGATTTCGTACATTTTTCGTGTCTTGGACTGTACATTGATCTGTCTACATACTCGCCCTGTGCGTCACATGTATTTAGGCTCACGCTTTGCTTGTTGATACACAGTTCACTTTCCCGCTTCGTTCGCGAGTGCTGTGTGCTCACCTCGTCTTCGCCTTCGACTTCGCCCACGCCCACGCTCACGCCCACGCTTTCGCCCACGACCTCGACTCCCTTCGCCTGCCAGCGCCGCGCGTGCGCGCGATCTCGTCTATTCCCTCCGCGTCTATTCCCTCATCGTCCTCCTCGCGCTCGCGCGATCCCCCGATCCGTCCTCTCTTCGCGTTCGCTCCTCCTGCGGCGCGTCGTAGCTGTTCTCTTCACTCCCTCTTCGACTTCCCGCGTCTCACGCTTACTCGAGCTCGCTCACTCGCCCTCACTACATTTGACTCTTCACGGAGTTGACTGACCATCACTGCAAAATCATTATGACGACAACGCGTATGGGCGTACGCGCTTCATCGCAGGGGAGCGAACGCCCGAATAAGAGTTCGACGTCAGTGGCATGGTGGACACAGGTGCGCGGTTCACTAGCGCAGGGTTGCTCTACTCATTGGAGTTGTTGTCGAGGCTTACGCGGTTTCCACTACATACGCGCACGCAATGTTCAAGACCCGTTGACCGCTATGAACAAACACCGCTCTCAGTGATTGCGACCGCTCTATGGCGCTTGCAGGCTGTCTCTAGCCGTTATCATAGCCGCATCTTCACAAAAGAATTGATTTCGATTCGTTCCCAACCATGAAGGTGTCCAGCCTGGCTGGTAATACGGGTGGCCCGATATGGTTGTCAGGTTCCCAAATTAGTCACATGTCTACGGCCCCTGGCCATGAACCAGTCATTACGGTCTCCTCCCAGGTGGCATCCTTCCCGCGTGTGATCCCGGAGCTTCGCGTCGTAGTGTTGTTCGCCGATGGATTCCCGTAGTCCATTGTATAGAATATTTGAGTTTGCTGGACACTCATCAGGGCGTGTGTGATCACGAAATGGCTGCGGCTTGCCTGTGTACGGCGTCGGAATCAGCAAATATGCGCATATAGCTGAGAAGATTACCGCTGTGTTATTCTTGTGGGTCATTGCATGAGACGCACAGAGCATGTCCAGCATCAGTCGGAGCTGGCTCGGACCGAGCCGGCGCAAATACTTGTCCTCCATACTGTCCGTCGCGAGCAGGTTCTCGGCGCCCTACTTGCGTGATGAGTCCAGCGAGTATGCGTTTGTGGAACGTGCGCTCGCGGAGGTATGCCGCCGCGGGTTTCATGACTTTCTTCATGTCGTCCGTGCGCGCGGTGCACCGAGCGTCGCTGTTGATCAACATATACTTGAGCGCGTCGCAGGCATATCTGAAGAGAGCGACGGAGAGATTCGTTGCAGGTGCGCATCGTGTCGCGTCTTGGTGGGGGCCCTATTTAGCGAGCACTTCGCGTGGGCGCCTGGATGAGGTGTGCACGTGCTAACGGCGGCGATGCATATCACCGTGTGACTATCAACACTTTCCCGGAGGCCACACACGTCAGCGCTTCAGCGCTCTCTGTCTCCTGCATCGCTGCTTCCGCTATCTGCTACCTCCCGCTTTGGTATTCACAAGGTATTTATGCCCCAATACATACATGAGACGAGGCTGAGCGTCCCTTGTAGACACTCGATCTGCGCACGATCCGCGACTACGTTTGCGACCGCTCCGTGCTACATGGCAATTTGATATGATGTTCGTCCCGTTAACAGTCCTCTTCGTCGAAGAAACACTGACTGATTGATCTAAAGGGAGCCTACTCATCTTTGCAGATTCTTTGATTACGAGGGTTTCACATTTACCGTTATCAACCCCTCCGCCGTGGAATCCCTGCCAGGGCTTATAGTCTCGGACCCTCACCTCAACTTCACTCCGAGGGACCTCAGGAAAGCAGTTTGGGCGACAAATAGAGCTCCGGAATTGGCCTATATGCTCAAACAGGATCGCAAAGAGTCGGCCATCCTCGCTGGTGTGCGTTCCTCTCTGCTTCCGATCGTCAACACTACGAATGGCTACATGCTTCAACCGAACGTAGTCAACGACTGGCGGATCCTCGAGGCCTGCCTCCTTCATACGTCATCCATTCTATTCGACGCCAAGTCAGATTGCTCCGAAGGGACGCTCCCGTTTGATCCCCATTGGCCGTCTCCTGAAGAATGCGGCTATAGGGAGGTGTACTCGACGGCTTACGCGGCGCACTCAGCAGCAATCAGATCTCGCAGCGCCTTCAAAGTCCTTCTCGCCCGCTGCACCATGGCCATCGCACTCCACATATCCCCAGAGACAGAACCTCCTGCCTGGGTACGTCTCCTTACGAGCCACAACGTCCCTTCCGCCTGGATCCAACTCCTCCGCACGAGCATCACAAGCAACTTTTCGCCCCAACTTCGAGTCGGAGCATTTTTCGACCTGGAGATATCACAATGGATGAATCACATTCCCTGCATGATACGAGCCAACGTTCCTGTTTACATACGATGGACCACCTCCCTCGCCAGCTCAACCCTCCAACAGTATCCATTCCTTTCGCCTTTTTCCCTCCACATGATCTGCACATTCCAGAGGTTCCGATAACAGACAGTGGCCGCTGCGAAACCCATTTCCGCTGGTCAATCTTCTCTGGCTCCAACGCAGCTGAGACCCTGCAGAAACCTCAAGGACGCGGGCAATTACCGAGGGAGACGCATGAGGAGTTTTTCGCCAGGCGGCAGCGCACGTATCAAGAATGGGAGAAGACTGCCACCCCTGAGCTTATTCAAGCATGTTCCAATCGAGCCAAGGTCGCTGCTTCGTTTGGGCGTCCTGGCAAGTCGACGTACGTCTTCGTCTGGGTTCCCGCTGAGGAAGAATTTGCCGAAGACATTCACCCTGAATGGCGCTCCCTCGAATACCGTCGCTTCGTCCCCTATGAAGCTGTAGGAGCGCTGTGGAAATGTCCTGATTCATGCAAGCGATACGACCCATTTTGGGACGAGTGGGACATTTGCGAGGCTCTATTCACAGAAACTTCCCCTCTGCACGAAACTATGGACGACCCCTCCGATAAGACGCTCGTGCCGCCTCAGCCGGACTTAGGATCCTCGTTTTACGATCTCCTCCTTCGCTCTCTGTACCCCACCGGGCAAGACTTCCGACCACGGTTCGAGCCGTTCGCGAACTTTCTACAATTTCGCTACGGACTCGTCGCGAGCCCCCAGAAGGATGCCCGCCTCGCGTATGACGCCTACGGACCCGAAGCCCTGCGGAAGTTCTTCGGCTTGTTGGAGGAAGACATGCCCATGATTGCCGCGGAAACCTTCCAGTTTGCCAGCGCCCTTGTGACAGCTCTTATCGAAGACAAGGAAAGTCCTTCAGCTCCTGGATCTATATGGGACCTCAACCCCTCTTCGTCTGAACACGTCGGGAGAGCCCTTGGTTCTGGCTCTATCCACTTGACGCCTCAGATGTTGAACGACAAGAAGTTGGTGCGGATTCGTTACGGCAACTCCGATCCATCCAGCTACTGGGATCTGTTCGTCGATTCCGTCACTGCACTCGAATTATACAGGCGACGGTCACATATATACTCTGCTCTCGACGCCGTCGGCGTACTGTCTTCCCGTGGCACACAATTCCTCATCGCCTCCGAACCGTCGTCAGGCCAACGATACCAATCGCAAGTTGTCGACCTTAACCCGGTGTTCCTCGGTCCGAGCGACCCCAAAGTTCGAAAGAACAAATTCGATTACGAAGCCTATGAATTACGCGCATCAGAACTTCTTGCACTCCCGCGGGGACGAGCGGCAATACAGCGAGGTGGCATCGTGTGGAGGATTGCCAAAGAACTTCTCGGAGAAAAACGCACGGCCGACTTCAGCCCTTCCGACGATCTGTGGAGTTACGGTGTTGAGCACCACCGCCCTGGGCGAACAGCGGTGTACTCCGACAACCTCTCTCCCTACGAGCTGAAAATACTGTGCGGGGTTTACAAAAGTGAAGCAGGTATATACCACGCTCTCAGAAAATGGTCAGTCATTGAATAACCCCACAGGTGAGGTTTCGTGGTGGCCCACAGCCGACCAGTGGGACAAAGGAGGATATAATGTTGGACGCTGGACGCCCTTCGCCGAAGAATGGTTCCAAAAACGACTTGACAGGATCAGATGCAACGAGGAGACAGTCCGATCGAGGGGCGATTGGAAGCGGGCAATCAAAGTGTCCTCTGGAGCCATCAAGTTGCGAGACGCAGTTCATGTCGCGAGCACCACGTTCATCACGAACGCACTCCCAGGTTGAACTTTATGTCTCATCTTTACGATCACCTGTACCTGTGGTCAACCCATGCTCGTCGTAAATGCACCCGTATGAACGCGCGGCGGTCTCCAGTGACTCCTTCTTTACTGTACCTTGCAATCGTTGAAAACATACTGGTTCCTGTCTTGCACCGCACGCCTCATCCTCCTGACACCGCTCACCCGCCGTCCCTCAGCGGGCGGGGGGAGGCGAATTTGGGCAGGGTGATGGTAGCATGGCTATATGTGGGAGTCGAAAATGCACACGGAGCGCAAAAGCCACGAGGATAGATACATGACCGGGTGCGGGATATGGCGCGAAGTCCATGCGGGCAGACGACGGGCATATCGTCAAAGAGATGCTTTATCGATAACTGCGGCGTGCACGTCGTCCACCTCTTTCGCCCCCGCATCGCCCATCTCCTCCTTCCGCCTCCTCCCGCAAGCCCTCCGTGTCGCCCACTTCCAGCGCCTCGCCCTTCCCGCCTCCTCCGCCTCGCCTACGTCCGCCTCCCGTATCCGCCTCGCCCTCCTCTCCTCCCCTCGTCCCGGTCCTCCGCACTGCCCACCTACCCGCGCTTCCCTTTTCCTCGTTCCAGCCCTCCTTTCGCCCGCTGATACGCACCCAGCTCCGCTGAGCGCGTATACTGTACGTCCGGCGCTCGTTATGTCCTCATCCGCGCATTACCATCCCGACCACCTCCGCTGTTACTGTTCCGTCTTGTTCTCGTTCTCGTTGTCTTGTCCACGTCCACGCCCTCTCTCCCGCCTCTCTCTCCCTTCTCGGTGCTTCCCACTGGCGATCCTCACCCACTCGCACACCGTAGCGCGACCCCCTGGTTGCCCTGCACATCACCGCCTCCGACTCACTTCCTCTGCATCGCCATCCTCCACGTCGCCGCCATGAACGGGCGGAGGCGCATCGCGGTCTAGCGGCTGCCGTCGTCGTCCGCTGCGACGGGGTCACCACCACTAGTGCCCCCGCATGCCCCCGCCCGGCTGCGCCGGACCGCGCGAAGGCGACGCACACACAGCGGACCGCGCGCGGGATGGCTACTCGCGCGTGCAGCGCGCACACGGTCTCCCCCGCTATCCTCTCCAGGCCCGGCCACACCCCCTCTCACTCTCGCGCGAGCTCGCGCCCTGCACCTGCATGCGGCGCCGCAGAGGTGGAGCAGGCACGCGTCGCGGAGGGAGAGGTGGCGGAGAGCGGGAAAGGTGTGGGCGACATCCCGGGCGAGGTCGCGGTCGACGTGCGGGAACTCGATGGGGAGTGTGCACGGGCGTGGCGGACGCAGGTAGCCGTACGCGGGCGCCTCGAGCGGGAGAATCTGGATGCGAGACTCGCCAGTATTGGAGCTAGAGTGAGGATTGTGAGTGAGGAGGAGAGAGTCTAGGAACGTACGTTACGCTAGTATACCTGCTTTAGGGGCGAGAGTTATGTGAAGCTATTGCGGAGATGTGGTTGATCGGTGATCGGTATTGTTTTAGCGTTCCCGGCACTTCCAATGGCGCTCCACTTCATATCGACCATGGTGCTTCGTTTGGCGTGTATTCCCACATTTCCTTCGCCGATTCCGAAGCTCCGCGTGCGATCGGCGCGTTCCTTGCACACGGAAAAGCAGATGATACGTTTCACATGGGCCTTCGTAATCTGGTTTATTCGCATTTATGAGTTTAACTATTTACTGCCCGGCCAAAAATCCGGAAACGACACATCTGCGCCGGAGATTCTCCCCATACACCACGCACTTCTACCAGAAACACTCCTATAGAGAGCCTCGAAAAAATAATATCGGGGAAGGAGTGGACCACGTGGATGGGGAGAATAGTAGGAGCATCGGCGACAAAGTGAGCGAGAGGTACGAAAGTAGGATTCCCGGGGAGTGATAATCGAGGGAATTTATCCCCGGCGAGGGACGTATCCCGCAGGGATTTCAAAGAATCCATGATGGACATGTTGGCCTTGCCTTCCACCAATCCCCAAACTACCGCCTCGCGTGGACCACCATTTTGAGGATCAGGGACCCCAGGTTTAAGGAGGAATTCGATTGCGAAATGGGTCGGATGAATGAGTGTCCCCGTTCGGATGCCCAACTGATATAGGCCATCTTCAAAGCGGAGGCAGTCGTTATGTTGAGGTGCGGGCATGAGCAGCTGTGACGAGTTGCCTTCATGCGAACTGGTGAGCTGTAGCGCCACCTTGGCGCCTTTCTGCGATAGAGCGAAATCTTGGTTTCGTTCCGACATATGCAGGGATTGAATGATAGCGAGGTGCATAGATTTGGCCATGGCAGCAGTCGTGGTGGAAGTGCGCAATGTTGGTATCGATGCACGGAGGTGGGTGAGTGCCGACGGTAGACGTTGGTCGAGGGCCGGTGTCGAAAGAATACCAAGACCGAAGAGGGTAATGATAAACGCGATAATCCACCAGCGGTGAACGCATGGCTGAGGGATCGATTTGGAAGGAGAGGTCGCCCCAGTACTCTTTTTGATTGTAGGAGAAAGCCGAGGGGAAGTTACAACGCCTTCCTGTGGGCCATCTCCGGAGAAATCAATGAAGCGAACTCGCTTCCGCACAACTAGATCGGGGAATCAGTCATTTGGAAAGTATGTCCCGATTGCCCGGAGACTTACCAATGTCAGGAGATCCCATCTGTTCATCTTCCAGAACGAATCTAGAGGCTTGAAATGGGTTGAAACCAATGGTTCTGGCCATGATGAAAAAGTTCGACGTGAGGCGATCGTTGGGGAGGTCGATTCACCGAACTTCATTTATGTGCAGTGAGTGTGAAACAAACCTCGATTTCTGGACATTCCCCAGGGACCGCCACACAAGTGTTTCAAAGTATCAAAAGGTCATCAGGCCATTGCACAACGGACGCCGCTTAATGGTGCGCTCTCTAGACCATGCATCTTGAACAAAAACAAAGGAGAATGGGACCGTAAGCAACTCCATGGGTGGGCAAGTGCCGCCGTTCATTGCGCGCGAGATTAAGATTCTATCTCGTTCATACGTGAACAAGCCCGCTATATGCCGATATAGGGGCCTGCGGACAGACTAATAGCACCTGGGGGGAACAGGAGTGATGGATTCGAGTATGGAGTTTTCATTACGTCAAGCATACTCGGCCCGGACAGACTCGAGGGACCGAGGAGAGGTATACAATGGACGGGACTGTGGTGACGAGCTCGAGATCGGCGAAACCCAGAAGCCCTTCTGGTCCCGCACAGATGCCCCAATGGCTGCCGACTGGAGACAAAGGAGGGCGTATTAGGTAATAGGCTGGTGGGGCTCAAGCGGACGGCAAAGAACGAGTGAAGGGTGAGCGCTGTGACATTGGCGGACAAGGGGCGGCTCGCTGTCGCGCAAAGAAGAATAAAGTACACCAGAACAGCCTGGTGCTGTGGAGTCGTCCCTGCCGATCGACGCAGCGATTGCATTCATATCGGTTAATTGCCATTTGAAATCGACGACTGTGCACACATGCGAAGCCTTTGCGGAGTCTTTGAGCGTTTTTGGGTATGAAATAGCTTTGTCATTTTAAGCGAGGGAGCATTAGCTTTGAATCAACGTAGCCGCAGATAAAAGGAGGCATCCTGCCGCAGTCTACCTATGACACACCCCCACAACATGGAGGTAATTACCGCGCGCTCGTCGTTTAGCCTCCTTGTCCAAACGCTAACTTCGGGCAATAATCGCACAGATCGAATTTGACGTCAAGGTTACGCCTGCTGAACAACCCCGGGCCGACAATAGCCGGGTAGGTTCTCTGTCATTACATGATCATCTCAAGTTTTGCTCATGGACGTTCTGGACAGTCGATCTTCGTCGTGCGGACTGTGTCCGATATTTCCAGTCTTCTCATCTTCGAACCGATCATGATGCCTCTCTTTGATGGGTTCGATATTGCACTGGGCGAAGAAGACGGCATTTCGGGGCCGGAGCTTCACCAACTACTCGGCCGTCTCCCTTCGACATTGACGAGATTGACGATATCGGTTCCCGAAAACGTGGCTCGTGGCGCATTTGACGGCCTTGTCTTCCCTTTCTTACGCGACTTCGCAACATGCTTGCCGTATTCGACAATTTCCGACTTCGTCACCGCCCAGCCCCGCATCAAGTCGCTCACTCTGGCAGGAAAAGTCAACGCTTCTAACTCCAGTGCACTCGCCCCATTTCCCAATGTCAAAGAACTGGTTTGCGCGGTTGGCCTCATCGAACTCCTGCAATCTCCGTTCCACGATCTGCGGATGTTGTTTCTCGACCTCAACAGCGATTTTCTTCAAATGTCCGACAGCCTGCAACGCTTTGGCACGAAGACGGACGCACCCGCCGCTCTGTTCCCTACTCTCACTCACCTTACGGTGCAGCTACTCCCCGGGGACTGTCGGATTATGGACGAGATTACTCGCATCTTTCCCACCGTCGTGGATCTCGCTTTCACGGAGACCACAGGTGTGGTGGTGGTAAGTTTCATCCGCTTCGCGCAGCTATAGGTGAAAGTTCTCACTTTCGGCCAGGGTAGATCACTCCGCAACAGAGTGTTGTGTCGAAGGCCGTGGAGTGACTCCTGGGTGTGGTATCAGAACCTGGCCCGACTTAAGAACCTGGAGGTTTTGTCACTCTACACCACCGCCCCGCTCACTTCAGGAGAACCCGGGGATATCAGTCTCGAGAAGCAGATGGTTCAACAGTGGGTCGGTGGACCACTTCAGATGCCGCATCCTTCCCTTCGTCAACTTATACTCGCGTACTCGGAAGAGTGCGGCCAGAGCCCAGCCTATGTGTCTATATGGAAGACATCTGGCGGGGAGATGGATGGTTGGACCAGAGACGAGTTTGCCGAGGACAGAACCACTGCAGAGGGTGTTGTTACTGCTCGGTGCGAATATTGGGTTTCGTAGGGCTAGTCAATTACAGTACCATTACTGTGTAGGATCAAAGAACGGTTGAACTCGCCGAATCCCTTCCTCGCTTCTTTCTGTGGCAGT